AATTTTGTGTTGTTGTGCAACTCGCTTGGCCAGACTCCACTGAGTTCAGCAGGTTGTGTTCTATGGAGGGTAAATAGAAAAGTAATAATATTCTCTAACAAACTAATTCGAAGGTCTAATTTATACCTGATCTTTTCATTTCCAGATTGATATTAGCTATGCATCTCCTTGTTGCTAGGCCGGCTGTCGGCCTGTTTAACTGTATTGATTCTGTTATCAAACTCAACTCATTATACTTCTGGGTTACCAAGCCTGTCAGAATTTTGGACTTTAAAGCTGCATTGAACCCAGTCATCACCATTAGGCATAATTTATATAAAAAATTCAATAATATATATTTTTCCTGTTTGCAACAATGAGAGAAGCTCATTACATTGTATTAGTAACAATACCCAAAGACTCTAAACAACTGTATAACATATTTGGTAACAAATATATAGATAAAAACATAAATAAAATATGAAAGTTCAAGATTCATTTCATCGTCCTCCTGAAAGTGGGAATTCTGCAACTGAAGAGGAATGCATGTATGCTTTACCCATGGAAGACGGATAAGACATGGCAAAGTCATCAAAACCTTCACCATGGGCAAACGTTAGGCCATTAGCTGTCAGGCCTAGTGCTGATAAGTTCGGTAAAGGAACATTCCCTTCTAAGTAACGCACCACTTAGCGCATACTCGGCCTGGCTGTGGGGTCTGAATGCGAACGGAGCAACCCCAGCTTCAGTACCAACTCCACTTCCTTTGCTACAAAATCCGTCCCTAATTTTGGATCTTTGACCTCAAGAGTCTCCTCTCTTTGCCAAAACGAAAACACCAGATCAACCAGAATCAAATCCTCTGTTTCAGCTCGTGGCTCAATCGGCCTTCTTCCACGGGCAACTTCTAGCAAAAATGCACCAAAAGTTAACACATCAGTGCTGGTTGTGGCCTTCCCTGTTCGGGTGTGCTCTGCCGCTCGGTACCCCGAGTACCCATCACGTGTGTTGTCTGTGGATCCATTCCATGATCATACAATCTCGCCAGCCCGAAATCTCCTAATCTTCCGTTCAATTCACTGTCTAAGAGAACATTGCTGGTCTTTACATCTCTATGAATAACAACTTGTTCCCATTCTTCTTGCAAATAAAATAGCCCCGAGGCTACGCCTTTGATGACCTAATACCTCTGTGTCCAATTCGAGTGACCTTCGGCCGGCCACAGAGGTACTTGTCCAGACTTCCATTTGGCATGTAGTAATAGACCAAGAGCAACTCCCTTCGGCAATACCCCAGGAGTTGTACTAAACTCCAGTGACGACACGACCGATGCTAAAAATTTCCACCCGAATTCCTTCATCCCCTGTCTTGTTTCATGAGAGACTCTTTCAACAGCAATCTCCAATTTGGAGGTGGGACATGTTCCTCAATAAACCGTTCCAAACCCACCGGATCCCAGTAACTCTTTGTCCTTGAACCTATTTTTGGCCACATACAGATCCTTGTACTTGAATCTTTGAGGCCCGTATTCGAGTTCCCAATCTTCAACTACATCTGCAAATTTCCTCTTCCTCTTTATGAAATAGAAAACCGCTGATCCTGTTGCAAAAACCAGAGTCAGAGGAATTAGAGGCAATCCAATTGTTAAAAACTTCGATGTTTGCTTCGGTCCTCTGCGAGGAAGCTTAGGTACTTGGAAATAACGAGCTCCTCCGCTTGGCCGTTAATCATAAAGTTCCAAAGCAGAACATAATGAGATGATAACATCGAACCAGTTGACGATGAGAATCCGACGTATACTGTGTCGTTGACGTCGGCGACTGATCCTTGGACAGAGACAAAAGTGGGAGTTTGGGTTTAGGAACATTAATTGGAGCTAAGGTGACGTTCATTCTCTTTTCTAGACCATTGTATTCTACCCAAACCTGCCTTAACCGTCCGCTGAGTAGCGTCAGGTTTCTAAATTGACTGGTATACCGTCCACATAATGCCCAGTTCTATGAGAAATCTCGAAATTCAACCTATTAACATCAATTCTGACATGGTTGTCATCGATGTCCCCAAATTCGACCTCCTTAACCGTATCAAGTTCCTCAGCAACAACACGATTGGTGTCATTTTCATTGTTGCGCTCGTTGAAGTAGGCCGAAGAATTGACTCGCCAGAGCTACCGGTTGGCCTCTGCTTGGTGAAATCACAAAAGCCATTCCGTTACCGCCGAGGATGGGGTATTGTGGGAGTATTGCGAAGACGAAGGTGGTCGTGAAGGAGAAAGCGGTGCCGTTTGTAGAGTTCTTGAGCTTAACTGGGGAGCGGTAGAAAGCGTGACCCTTTTGCTGCCGGGTATCATTGGTGAGCTTCAAGAGTCCATTGGAAGTGACCTCTGCTAGACCATCGAGGCTCTAATTCGCA